TGGGTTGCGACGAAGACCACTCGATCGAGGCGATGAAAAAGTTGGTCGGCCACAAGAAATTGACCGTCGACTGGAGAAACAAGGTTCTTTCCGTGTTGATTGGGAGTAGACTGAGGAGTCGGGAGATCACACTTGCCGAAGGCATTGTGCACATAAAATGGAAAAACACGGGGGATGTGACAGCCATCGCACCGTTCGGGAACGACCCTTTGGAGACGGATATCAGGAGTGCACTTGGACGCCCTCTCCTTCCCAGAGAATTGGAAGAAGTCCTGTTTCCCGGACAAGCCTTCGAAGTGATGCACCTTCTTGAACTGCTGCATCATATTGTCCCACTTCTTCCCGCACTGATCTGCGTCTCTGTCCACGCCCACCTTCTTCAACCTCTGCCCCACATCCAACCACTTTCATTCTCGCGGCTTCATCCGAGCGTACGCGTGACCCATCCCTTGCAGATGCGCATCCTGGGCACGTTTACCCCGGATGAGGGCTATAATGTCGTTGACGAACCAGAAATGACGACCTCCTTCCGCATCAACGTCACCTTTGACATTGCTCCCCTTCCCTGCCGCTTTTTTCCCCCGACGACCATTGCGGGCACACTCCTTCGTCTTCCCGCCCCTCCCTCCCATGCTGCTTCGCTTGAACGGCGAACGTAGCCTGCGTCCTCCTCCCCACCTTCACCGTCGTTGTCGTTCCACTCCTGATCGTCCGCGTCCACCACTGGTGCGTCGCCATCGTTTTCCTGCTCCCCCACACACAATCACTGCACCCCCCCGAGTTATGGATTCCTCCCGCCCCGACCGCAGCCCCCGTCGGTGTTCTGCCCACACCTCCCTCCCGTCTCGTGCATCACTAAGATCGACGATGCCACAATCCATCTCCCAACATTCGCCACGACGGCGGGCTGCACTCCAACCGGCGGACAGGGGAGACGGAGACTGCATCCACTGGGGGCGACCGGAGGCACCCCTCGACACAGACGACGACCAAAATTGCTGCCTCGGAGGATCCCTGTTGTTCCCCGATGCCTCCAAGACCAGTGCTGGAGACTTTGATGATCACGCGACAGCCGTCACTTGCCCGCCATCGTCGTCGGGATGGGGGGTGACGATGACCGTTCGCGAGGCGGCCGACGACCTCCCGCTACACAGCCCGAACGACAGATTCACGCCGCCATCGCCTTCGTCGCCGCTGAGCCCCTGCTGGAGGAGTTCGGTGTACGGACTGGTCATAACCGCCGTCGCGGCTTCCCCACAGCTCTGTAGCTGCCCACTCCTGGGTGGACCCGCTTCCCAGCGGCACGGTCCATGACCGTCTGTCATCCGCCTCCTCATCGGACGTGTCCGACAGAGGTTGCAAGTGCGGTGGCAGGTGCGCGTACCCAGACCGCTCCGAAGGCCTTGAACTCCTCGACGGGCTCTGCGCAGCCTGCTGGCCACCACCCTGCTCCCTGCAGACCTGCAGATCGCCTGGCGCCCCAATCCTGACGTCCTTCTTCAAAGACCGTCTTCTGCGGCACATCGTGGAATGCTGCCGAGGATGCACACGTGGAAGACAACTAAGAGGAGGAGCAAGAGGACGACCAGCACCAGCAGTGGCAGCCTCCGAAAGACGGCGGCCATGAAAGGCACGTGGATGACGGCAGCAGCTAGAAGACAACGGTGGATGTCCAGGAAACGGCGAGGGACTGTGGTGCAAACGACCGAAAAAAGCAGCTATCGACAAAAGTTGGGTAACGTATTCCGTTGCGGAAGACATTGTGCAATGGGGAGAGCGGGGGCCGGCTGAAGTATTTGAATCTGCCGACTGTTGGGCGCCTTCCCGCTCGGGGCCAAGGGCAGCGACGCAAGGCAGCCCCTTTTTGACGTCGCGGAGGCCGGCAGGCCGCCAAAGGGGACCATTGGTGGACAATTCCATGACGCCGACCGTTGCCGACCAAAGATGTCCGTTCATGGGCCGCCAGGAACAGCAATGGACCAGCCGCGTCGAAAATTGTTGTCGACAGAGCTGCCGTCGATGCCCCAATTCTTCCGGATGCTCTACCTCCAAGGGACCTTGGGAGGTCCCTTGGGGAACGCGTCGAAATGGATGTAGCCCGAGGAACCCCCCCGGAATCCCCGAGGAAATGTTTTCACTTTTTTTTTTCAATTTCTTCACGGAGGATAAGTGGAATGATGATTTCCTTGGGGGATTTACGTGCCCGAGGAGTGTCGAACGAGCCCCTCTGCCATCCTCCCACGGATAAGTTGTCCTGGCTGCGTCCCCGGCGGTCCTCAGTTCACGAGTTAGGGCATCGCCAAATGGGAATGAATTTCCCCTTAGAACATGGCCAGGTGCACCCGCCATATTTTTGTCGTTTTCACATGAGAGTGGTGTGACGAGGCCGTTAGTGGAGCCGTGCTGAGCTCTGGAAGTTGCACGAGGCAAGAGTACTGCAGCGAGGCCCATAGTATCATGTGGCAAAGTGGGGTAAAACTGTTGGAAACAGAACTGCCAAAATTTTCTGACAAGTATCTAAAAGAACCCTTTTTCGACAGTGGTGAGGCCCTTGGCCTTCAATCTGCAGTGCCCTACGGTTGAGGCCCCCACCAAAGACACGGAGGGCAGTGTCTTTTTTTTTTTTTTTGGTCAGGATCGAGCGGTCCGGGCTACCGTCTTCCGCCGAACATAACGCACCCTAAAAATGAATGTATACGAGTGATGTTTCCGGCCAGATACAGCCAAAATGAGGTTGCGTTGTGTTCGGGGGAAGACGGTAGTGGGACTTGGGACGTGGGCCGCCATTTCTTCTATTTCTTTTACTTCACCCTTGCAGGCTGGCTGGAGATCCATCAACCTGACAGGCAGGCAGACTGCGAGGACGAGCTCCGCCACCAATGCGTTGACTGCGAGAACGACGGTAGGGTCTTCCCGCGGCAACCCGTCGAGTGGACACTTGCTCGTCAAGTTGGCGGGGCGGGGCGGGCGGATGCCGGCGCAATCTGGCGCGACGGTTGGCACGCGGAGAGCGTGCGCGGTTCACTCAGCGGCGGAGAAATAGGAATAGGAAAAAAAGAAATAGGAATAGGAAACACGATGTCACGTGATCTCATTTTCATTTCATTGCCGACAATGGTCCGCACACTCCACTACTCACGAAAAATGCGCGAAATGAGATTGAATCTGGCCCCATAACATGGCAATATACACCGACATAATGTTTGTCTTTTCTGCAATACAGCCGGAGTTCACCCCCGCCCCCGGGGGAAAGAGGAACCAGGCGGAGATCGGAGCAGCGAGGCGCAACAGAAGGCAACCAGGGAGACGGTACGGATCTGACGACCTGCAGGTCAGCTCTCTTTCTTTCTTTTTTTTTTTTTCTTTTTTTTTTTTTCTTTTTTTTCTGGGAACGCCCGACAACCGTAACTGACTCCGAAAGCGGTTGCTAAAGCTCGAGTGCTGCCTGTCTAAAGTAAAAAATAATGAAGGAGGAGGAAAAAAAAAAGAAAAAAGAAAGGATTCTTTGTTGCTATGACGATGGAGAAAGAGGACAACGCCATTGAATTCTACCGGTAGGAGCGAAGGAGAAATGAGGAAGGATTTTGATTAATAAATGGTCCTGATTTAAAAAAAAAAATTAAAAAAAATGAGGAAGGAAAGTGAGGGGCAATGAGGACGGCGGTTTCTCCCAAACAAAATAAAGGAAGAAAGGAAATGGCGGCCGTTTCCGCTCGTACGGTAAACTTTTTCTTTGGCGGGGCGGGCGACTCAGAGGTAAAAATACCACTTTTGTCCCTTCGTGACATCTGTTACCGGGGGCCATGTCCCACTTCTCGAGGTTTTGTTCTGGTTTCGAGTGTACATGGCTCCTTGCCATCCGATCTGAAAATCTCACGGCCCTGGTGTGGCCACGTTGGAAAATACACGAAACGTAAACTAAACCCCCGCTAGTGGGTCAAGGCCCCGGGGCCGAGGCCCAGTTGCTTGGATTCTTCATTTCCGGCCGTTGATCTTTGCTATCTGGAGTGAGAAATTGGGCCTCACTGCACTAATCTGCAAAAAATGTGCAAAACGAGACTGAATACACTGCTAGAACATGGAGAGATACAGTGCCATCTTTTTTGTCTTTTGTGCATGTGAAGAGTAGTGCAGCGAGGCCCATTGAGAATTAGAGGTGGACCCCACAGCTTTGCGGCAAAGGTCTGGAAAGGGTCCGGAAAGGTTTTGCGAGACCCCACAAGGCCGGTGGAGGCGGGTTGGAAACTTTGGTTGGGCCGTTTCTACATACATCGCGGCCCAGGGTCCTGTCAGTTTTCCCCCTGCGTGCCGCTCGCATCGGCCAAACGGGAAGGTCGTGGTCGAGGCATCCCTTCCKCCGCCAACGGCAGGCGGACAAACGTCYCCGTCCGTCGGTCCAGTCGAAGACCGTCCGGACACGACCCTGTTTTCAAAYGTGTCACACAGCTTTGCGGCCCATGGTACAGGCCCGGGACGGAACCGGTACGAAATGTCGGGGCGCTGGCGGAACTTTGGTGCCCCACGTCGGCCACAAGGTTTAACGGTYGACCGAAGGCATCCGTTTCGAAATAGACAAACGGTATCGCACACCACCGTTTCAAAAAYCGTGTGCATGTGRAGTTCCTTGCATKGCCCTTCGGCTGAGCACGGATCATCTCCTTCGACAAGCTTTTGATGATGTGGTCGTCGACCTCACGGGCTATGAAAGGGGGTTGCAAGTTGTGGAGACRGACATTTTTGCTCCGCCCTTTCATGCGGAGTGTTCACTCTCCACTGCCTTTCTCCCAGTCTATACGCTCCCCGATTTGCGAAGCACTGTCGATCACTGCAACGCCATCCTCTTCATGCTGGCAACGGCTTCGCCCTTCATCTYCGTCTGCGATCTGCACTGCTGTCGCTCCTTTCACCCCCCATGTCCCCATCTCACGGACTCCGTCGCCTGATGTCCGAGCTTGTTGGGTAAGCGGTCGGACGTTCCCTTCGCATAGCCGGCAGTGGGGACATTGTCATCCGTGGAGTGTGGTCAACGAGGTCGGTGCAGGGTCGTCGCACGGTCGATGGTGTGCCCAACCCGCAGCATATCATCTGCAACGACCTTCAACGACGGTCGTTGTCGTTAGTGAGAAAGCGTCAAAGACTGACGCTTTTTTTTTTCATAGYCGTTCTCGTCACATTGTTTTCTGTAGCATCCATAGCTGTTCTGGTCACCRCCCTGTTCCTGTTCTGCTGTTGCATTGTTGTCGTCGTCCTCCTCTCACACGTGCGCAAGTGAGCTTGCAGGCCGATGGATCAACARCGGTGCCTCTCCCAATCGCACRGAATGCCGCCGTCAAGGGCGCAGTCTTCCTTCGAAGATCTGCTTGGGTCTTCCACCGATGAACGCCATTCGGCTGCAATGGGCCAGGTCCCTCGGGAGTATTCGTCCGTGCCTTGGGGGTCTATGCTCACCACCTCCCTCCCTCCACCCCCCACTTGGAGGAACAATCCCGCAGCGCAAGCGTTCGTGCACTCCAACATTGCGTCTTCGATTCCCGCTCCGCCAATGATGCCCTTCAGTGGCTATGGCGTCCCTGGGGTGGATGGGAATGTTGGCCATGGCGGGACGGCATACTATCAGCCGTCCCGTGCACATTTTCGCGCTTCAGTGCCGGCTGTTGATGGTGCAAGTGCGGGGCCACGGGGTTTGAATGTCCGCAACGATGCACCGGCTGTGAGCTCAGCACGTGGAACACGCAGCATGGACTGCAACTCGCCCGCCATGGCAACTGAGCACATGGAAGAAGCGGCAGCCCCTCTGGCACATGCACAAGGTCCTCCTGTGCAAGCATCGGCCGTCGATCTATCGGCTGCTGAAGAGTGCGGCGATGGCCCAGATTTGACAACGGACAGTCCGCCAGACGAGAGCGGTGGACGRAAGCCTCCAGCGAAACCATCTAGGAAAGCATCTCAGCCATGGTCGCCGGATGAGCAGATCTCTCTAGCGCGGCTATTTGGAGAAGATGACGCCCTCTGCGCAAGAGCTTCTGGTCCTCATAAGTGTTTGAAGAGGGGGGAACGTCTTGAATGGATCTCAAAATGCTTGGGGGAGGAGGGGTACAGACGAAGCGGTGAAGACTGTAGAAAAAAATGGGCGTCTTTGTTGGAAAAGGTGAAGGAGATCGCRGACAAGTGCGACAGATCGGGCAAGCAGACATATTGGGATCTCACCACGGAGAAGCGAAGGGAACTGGGTGTCTACCCTTCTTTCGACAGAGCTCTTTGAGATGCAATGGCTTGGCACATGAATAGACCGTCCATGACCTGCAACAATACACTGGCTTCTGACAACATGCAGTCTTCCGTGGATGACGTGGCATCCGGGAGGAGCGGGGGTGGTGAAGGGAGTGCAGGGGCGATTGGTGGGAAGAGGAACGTTCGAGATCCGTCTGATGGTTCTGATGGTGGCACGAAGACAAGGAGGACAGGATCCGGCAAGGTCAGGGGAAATGGGGACGATGAATCCAGCTCATTAGTATCGAAGGCAATGGAGGAGTCGACGCGCGCATACTGTGATGGACTGCAGCAAGCTGCATCGACTTTGGCCAAGGCAAGCACGAAGGGTGCGGAGATAGTCGGTGTACGGATAGGGGAGATGGCAGGGAAGATTGGTGCTGTCGCTGATGCAATGGTGGGATCAAATGACGTGCTCTCGCAACTGGTCGGGGTTTTGGCAGGTCGGAGGCAAGGAACCCGAAGGGGGGAATGGGCGGGCGATGAATCTCCTTAGCATCGGATGTAGCTTGGACGATCTGCGGGACTTTCGTATAGAGGTCCACCGTGCGTCCGCATCTGGAGTTTATGCCTGCTGCTCTCACGTTTCTGGCCGCCGTAGTTGTGTACGGGGAAGATCGTGTGTTTGATGTTTTTTTTTTTTTAATTTGAAATTCCTCTTTTTTCACGTAACACAAATCCGCCCTGCTGCTCCAGCCACCGTCGTGTTCCATGTAGGGCGATTGAAATCGGAAGGCCGTGGGTTCGCGGGCAGTGGGTGGGGCAGCTCGTCGCCGACACGATCGAACTTGACAAAAA